TTATTCTTTTTTGGGCCACGTCCTTGACAGTTATCCGGTAACCTCGATCTAACATGAAAGCGCAGTAAATTTGGCTGATTTACGACACCAGGTGTCGCTGTTCCGAACTTGCACGGTCCCAATATCACTGCCATTTATAGTTATACGTCTGGGATCGTCTGTGTTTATATATTTTTTTTCTTTTAGTCAAATTCATTTTTCATCTTCATCATCTTTGGCTCTACAACTATGGGCGAGTCTTGGCCTATTCAAGAATTAGTCTCCATTCTCCCTATCTTTCGCCCTGGCTCTCCAATTTCTGACCCCTAGATTCCTCAAGTCATCTTCAACTTGAGTTTTAACTCTAGATCTTGGCCTGCCTCTCGTCCTGGTTCCTACTGGCTCTTGATATAATGTCTATCTTTGGGGGTCTCCAGTGTTCATTCTTTCAAGGTATCCTAGCCACCTTAGTCTATTAATTGTAATAGACCGTACGATGTTGCATTTTTCATAGCATTGATACCACTCAAAATTGTAACGCCTGCGCCATATCCCGCTTTCTTGTACTCCTCCGTATATGTGTCTAAGTATTCTTCTTTCAAAGTGGCCTAACAGTTCTTCGTCGCTGTTTACCATAGTCCATGTCTCTGACGCTTATGTCAGGACAGATTTAATAAGAGTTTCATATATTAGTATCTTGTTTTTTCTGCTAATTATGTGTGATGTTAAGAACTGCTTTAGTCCAAAGCACAGTATAAAGAGGTTCCACAGTAGAACCATTCGTCTGTCGGCGCTTTGATCTCAGGAAGTAATACCCGCAAAGTGCGAAATTGGTAATTCACCAGTGGTGGATGCGGGCGGACGCCGCACGCTTCTTTGGTTAACCTTACAGAGCCGTATTAAAACTTTCTGAGCCTACTACTATTATTTATTAAAATAAAAAATGCGGCTTCCCATATTTAACTGTCCAGATCTTCTTACTAAATGTTAATATTATAAAAACAAAGGGTTTAATAAATGAAAAACAATATTACAATTCAATGTTTATATTTTTCAACGGTATTTAAAATATTAACGGTATTGCGCAAGTTTTAAATCTTAGTGGTTGTTAATATATTGTACACGTCATATAAACGTCAAATAAAAAGGAGGTTAATTTCGAAGTTCTCACGACATTACTATACTCTGTCTTTAAACCAGGACGAGTAATTCAAATTTTGTGTCATAACGCTTGTTTGTAATTCGTCCAACGGTAGGCAAGTTTATGAAATTTTGACATTATTGACATTTATGAAATTTTGTCACTATTTAAATTTCATAGGTTAATTTGTTTATATGGGCGATTTTTTGTTTACTGCATTACTGCTGCATTATTCGTTTAGTTTTAGTTGTAGTCTGCAAAAAATTAATCAAATTTTGCAATAGTATTTTCGTCAAATCAATCGCGTAATGTGCAAGAGTACATCAATTAAAATTCAAACTGCTGAGAAGATAACCATTTATTTTATATACTATGTAAACGTTTTACATGGTTTTACAGTAAAACCAAATCTTAAAATCACCGTAAATAAATGGAAAAAGTTTTTTAATAGTCTCGAGAAGCTTTTTATATTTTATGGTGATTTTTAGCCACAAATTTAAATAAAAAAAATTCTCTTCGTTTTTCTTATTTTTAACAATTTCAACAATTTTTTAATAAATTAAACGAATATCAACTATTCTAATTGGGAAATAAGCCACAATGTAACCTGAAAAAATAATTTTATTAACGTTTCGACTTCCAATTCAGACGTCGTTGTCCAAATAAAAAAAAAAATTAATATTTTATATTTTGACAACGACGTCCGAATTGGAAGTCAAAACGGTAATAAAATTATTTAAACTTTGATGGTACACAAGGCAAATATCGAACACAGTATTTAATTAAATCTTGCCCAAGTACTTTCGATCACAAGATCATCCTCAGGGGCATTTCGTCAATTGTGGCCTATCCAGCAATAATGGAATGTCATACATGTAAACTGGGACATAACAAATACACTAAAGACAAACAAACACTTTAAAATTTAAATTGGAGAAGCTACATTTTTATATTATAGAAGCCGGAGACAGAATGTCTCCGGCTTCTATAATATAAAAATGTAGCTTCTCCAATTTAAATTTTAAAGTGTTTGTTTGTCTTTAGTGTATTTGTTATGTCCCAGTTTACATGTATGACATTCCATTATTGCTGGATAGGCCACAATTGACGAAATGCCCCTGAGGATGATCTTGTGATCGAAAGTACTTGGGCAAGATTTAATTAAATACTGTGTTCGATATTTGCCTTGTGTACCATCAAAGTTCATTTATTCGAACATTCAACCTTATATTGATGAATAAAATTATTTTTTCAAGTTAAATTGTGGCCCAGTAAAGGACGTGAGGAGTCAGATTAACAAAGCATCTGCATTGTCAGGATGTCTGCTAGAGATAGTCTAGTCATATCCATTTTTAAACCATAAGTAAATAAAGTGATCAAAGGAGAATTAGTTATTAATAGAATAGAATTATAATTAGAATATTATCCACTTTCAGTGCCATTTGAGTTGTATGAATTAGAAATCAGTCTTAAGAATAAGAAAAATACTTCGCCAGGAATAGGAATATATGTACGATATATTATGTTGGCAAATTTATATCAAAATAAAAAAAAACACTATTAAATTTTTTTTTAATCAAATATGGTTATCAGAAGATAGTTCAGATAGTTGGGGAGACTACTTGGTGATCTCTATTCTCCCCCTAAAAAAATGAGGAACTTGGACAATATATGGCAAAATAGCTCTTGAAATAAGTATAGAGCTGCAGAAGGATTTATTATATTATATTATAGAAGAAGTAATTATCAAAAAAATACATTATAAAACTAAATTATGAGTTACTTAAATTTAGATTATCAAAAAATATAAAAAGGATTATTTATTAGAAATTAATGTTAGTATTAGTTTACGGATAAAATTGTATACAAAACATGACTAATAAGTAAAAACAAAAATTTAAATTTGCGAATGGATTTAGTGTCTGCAGTCCGCAGTCCAAACAAACAACAAGTTTTAAAGCTAATTTTACTCATGTTCAACTTCACAATACTAACAATTATTCACAAAACTAACTCAGTTTAAACAAAATACGGCACTGTTAACCCGTACGTTTCTACGCGACTAGCAATGAAAGAATGGTTCTCGAGCGACTAAGAAATAAGCGCAGTCGCCCTGCGTGTTAACAGATTTTACTTCCAATTTTTCGGAGAGTAGTTCTACTGTGGAACCTCTTTATACTGTGTATAAAGTAAGCTCTGTTCGCCAGGTATATTCCTCCCTTAATTTCTACGCTTACTAGGTTGCTGTTATTTAGTTGAGTTCCAAGATATATAAACTCCGAGACCCCTTCGAATGTGTGTGCTTCTGTCACCAGATCTTGTGGTGCTGCTATTTATGTGCTGTTCGTGACCTTCAAATTCATTTTTAGGCCGACGTATTGGGAGCTGTCTGCGAGTTCCTCCATTATAATTTCTAGTTCCCCGAATGTGCTCGCTATAATCACGATATCGCCAACGAATCTGAAGTGGTTTAACTTTTTGCTGTTAACGTTGATGCCATATGCTGACAAATTTGTAGTTTTGAAGACGTCTTCCATGACTAAATTAAAAAGCTTTTAAGACATTAAGCCGCTTTGTCTAAGTCCTCTCTTAATAGGAATAGGATTTGTGTTCGTCTAGTTCTACTATCATAGTTGCGTTATATATTATGTATTAGTTGCCTATATCTCGAATCTATTCTACAAATATTCATAGTTGGTTCTATAGCCTACATCTAGATACTATCAAATTGCTTTTCATTGTTTACGAAGGCAAGAAATATAGGTAGTTGCTACTTATTTGCCGTCTCTATCAGTGTTCTCATTGTCAGTAGGTGGTTTGACGTACTATATCTTTTGCGAAAGCCAGCCTGTTCCACCGGTTGGTAATTTTATCCATTCTGTTCGTCAACCGATTGTAAATAACTTTTATAAACAGTTTGTACATATTCTGTATAAAATAAATAAATTGTTTCATTTCCCTTTATTTTATTTAAAAATATGTCTAGGCACAAATCATCGCTGTAGCTGCAGGCCAATCACAGTTGTGGGTTTCGTAGGCCACTACTTACAAGCACCCATAAATATATTTAGACGGTATGTATCTGATGCAAATACAAAAATACATGTGCATCCAGATTGGATGCACGCGGCCACTAAATCATGGCTATATTCGTGACCACCCAATTATAAAATTATCTGGACCCTGTTTTTTCTGGCCTGTACGGCATACGACCGTAAGCTACTCCACTGCCCCTACAAGTCCGACACCAATATGAGACTGGCACAATTCCGGAATTCCACCTCGCACGTAGACAGGTCGCCGCCAAGGATCTCTCCTCTACCACCCTTAAATCACCCAGGTGGGTACGTGCCGAGACACCGGTGCCCCTAATGATGGTGCTGGCCAAAAGAGGCGCTTACGATCTCAGCTCGTTCAACCTCACCTGGTTTTTGTGGAATGAGAGTAGAGAGTTCCCACGAGAGTCTCGTCTCGGATACTAGGAGTATAGACCGTGACGCCTAAACGCCTCAAGTGCGTTTGTACAAACCCGACACCTCAAGCGACGGCTCTCCACCTCTCCATTCCTTCCCATTAGTCGCCTCTTACGACAGACAGAGATATATTATATCACACTAAATCAGTGTGACGTGTGTATCCATGTTGGATACATGTGGCACCGGACGTGTTAAAGATACATTATGGAAAATATTTATAGTGGCAGTTAAATAATACCGTAGGAAATTATGTACAATTTTAATTTTATCAATTATTTACAACGATTTATTGTAAATTCAAATGTAAATGTTTTCATTCCTATATTTTCCTAAATTTTATTAAATTTAAACAACCTCATACAAAGAAACAAATTTTAATAAGAATCTAGTAAAGAAACACTTACCCAACATTTTAACCACTCTTTTTTGGGCGGCAGTGTTTCTGTTATTGCTTTTTCTACCAAATTCCTCTTGTGCTCCACTGGTATTAGTAGTTTTTGGTCTGGACGATCCAATGTTAGTAGATCTTCTTAACTGAATGCCAATAAGAATATACAGAATAGAAATTAGACTCATGGGCACGAAAAAGATGACAAAGGTACTAATCTCGAAAGCGTGATCAAAAAAAGGGTTCTTCATAGTACATAACCTAACAATATTACCGTTCTGTTCCTCGTCAACGACTCCAAACTGAATAGCTTGTGGAATAGCTAACCCCAAAGCCACAATCCATATGACAATAATGTATTTGATAGCTCTGCTGGGTTTAGACCAAGCATGTGCCAGGAAAGGATGGCAGATAGCAACGTATCGTTCTACTGTGAAAGCGGTTATGGTTAACACCGTCGCATTTGCGGATGTTTCAGCTGCCATTCCTTGGATCATGCAAAAAGCTTGACCAAAAATATAATTGTCTGGTGACCATATTCTATACATTTCTGGAGGCAAGCCAGATACCAATAATAACATATCTGAACATGCCAAGCTAAATAAATAATAGTTTGTAGCTGTCTGCATAGATTTATTTTTTCCTATCACTATACACGTACTTATATTTCCTAATACACCCATAACGAAAACTATGGCATATATTATGGTAAATGGAAGAACTACCGAAAAGGGGTATAAATTAATATTTTCTTCATTCTCACTACTTTCATTAATTGAAATAATACTGTAATCGCTAAAAGAAAAGTTTGTGATATTTTTTAAGCTTCCTGCATTTATCAAGAGCATTTTGAATTTTTCAGAGTATTTGTCACTGGTATTTGATAAACAGATTGTAGGTCACTAAATCCATTTCGGTTGCTGGTTGACTTGAATCACTTGGAACATTTCATCTTCGTCTTCTTACTAGAATGAAAAAAATAGAAGTTATTAAGTACTTTATTACAAATATACTTAGATGCAAAAAAACGCAACGGAGAAAATTTTGGTCAAATTCAAAGTATTTCAATTTTTTTTAATTTTAGCCCCATTTTGAAGACTTTTTTAGCACACTGTTTATAACTTTATAAATTTTAATTTGATATAGTCAGATTTTTGGTAAAATTTTATATTTAACTTATTTTGTGGGGTTAATTAAAACGTGGTTTTATTATCTTAACTTTAAAATATCCTGTGGAACAATTCCGTTTGCGAATTTTCCTAAAAACCTTATTTTTCGGTTGTAACCATGTTTCCCAAGCATTGTGTTTTTGTTTCATGTAAAAATATGCCTTGATTCATTTTTTAAAGCCAAATGAATATTCCAGGCAGCCACAATTTAGAACTTTTTGAATTATGATTATATTGTATTCGAATATACTGAACGGAAACGTTAGGTGTCTGATACGATACGTTCCTGACAGTGTGAATTGTTCATATTTAAAACCATTTAAATTATGATAATATGTAACGACCTTTAAAGTGTCGTTGTTCGCACAAAAGATCTAAACAGATTTAAACAAGAAAAAAACGATATCGCTTATAACAGGGCTTCCCAAACTGTGAAGCGGAAATTGGCAATACTGGAGTGGAGTGAGCGCCGGGCTCATTCTGTTTCGTCGGTCGGCTCTACTACCCCATGTTCCTTACTGTCGCCGGTCATTTGTTACCTCAAAATCTCAACTATCGTTGAGTTGGCGCCCTTCTTTTTCTCTTCTTATTGTTCTCTTTCTATAAATTTATTCCCAGTGACCTTCTTTAGTTGTATCACATTTGATATTACCAGGTCTCATTTCGTTTCTTGTCATTAGCTCAGTATCCTTGTTATCTGTTTATATCTTTAAAGCCACAATCCAGTGCATTGAAGCTAGCCCGAACACTCACTTAAGATTTAGTGTCTCTTTGGCCATTTAAATTTGTTCCTCTGAGCTTAGCCATATTTTTAGTATTTTCATCACCTCTCTTCCAGTTCTTCTGAAATTTGGAAGTTCTACACTTCCTAAAATCCAATACTCCCGGAGTATTGAGGTTTCAATTGGCTAGACCCAACGTGTGGCTTCTTTTCCACTTCTGCCTTAAAAAAAATATATATCTCCTTTAATTTTTGGTTTTGATCTTGGGTTGTTGTGGTTTTCACAACAACCCAACCCCAAACAAACTTTTTGAATTTTGGAGCTCACTTTCTCATGAATGAATGCCATCAGCATTGCTGCATTAAAGGTTTGATTACCATTAAAGACTTCGTACTTGTACGAAACGGGCTTTTCTGCAATCGTAGTAATTAAAAACAAGTACAGGTCGGTGTAAGAAATGAGAGTAACAATTTCCAAACTGGAGCCTTGTTTTCATAAGCTGTGTTTAAAAAAGCATGCACATCCCTTACATTAACCAGCCCCCAATTACATAAATAAATATCCCTTTTCATTTTTGTGCCCATGTTTTGATGTCGTTCTTAATTTCTAATAAAAAATATAAATATTCAAATAGTGTTTTTTTTATACCTATAACCTGTTACTAGGCTAGTACTAAAATTGGTAAGTATTATTGGGGGTTGGGTTTTGGAGGGGCGGCGCAAAAAAATAGCAAAGTTCCAAGGGCGTCATAGTACGAATAAGTTTGTACTTATTATATATACATATATACATACTTATATATTATATAATAAGTTTGTACCAATTAAACAAGTTTTGATCTAAAAACCAACTATAAAACAAATAAATCGGAGTGTCGGTTAATTTTGCACCCGGTGTATTTGGATTCAAACATCAAGAGGTCAGTTAACCAACATCTAAAAATTTACTTTTTGTTTCATAACAGATTTTTGTGTATTTTGGTAACTTGTACCCGTATATTTAACTTGTAGAGTAAATTGTTATAAAGGCTTGAGAGAATAAGTAATATATTATGTTCTAAAAGAATAGATATAACTTAAAAAAACCTACGAATGTAAATCTTCTAGACAACAGAAAAGTCAATGATCGTTAACGGTTACGACATACAAACAAAAAAAAAAGAAAAAACAGTTAACAGTTATATCTATAGTGCCAAAAAAAAACAGTTTACCTATGATTAAATATTAGATGTAGTAGATACTTATGTAATATGAATAATTTTTTCATTAGTCAAATCAAAATACTTTATGTGTACGTGAGTCGTTTAAAAATTATTTTTTATTGCGATTTTATATCTATAATTATACGCATAGCACAAGACTACTTCCTTATTAACATTCATTGATGATTTGAAATTATTAGCTAAACCGAATCTAGAATATTTAGGCTAAAAAACGATTTCAAAAGGCCACGACATTGATATTCAAATCATTAAATATTCAGTATTTATGTAGACTAGGTTTATTTTTGTGATGTACACTTTAAACTTGTATATTAATCGATATCAATATTTTTAAAATAAATCAGATGAACAAAAAAATTTAATCGCCATATTTATTAACATCAAATAAATCGCATTTGGAGTATAAACCTAATTATCTTCTTCTTCTTTGTATGTAGATATGACTCTGTCTGTTTTTCAATGTGCCTCCAGTAAGTTGTCGTTCCATCGTTTTCGTCTGATCGTCTTCCTATTGGGGAACCGTTTCTTGCCATCTTTACTACTCTCGTTTCATTCTCCTCTTCTATTTCTTACGCAGTTCTTGATGTTCTCCATGTTGCATCTACGTCATATATCTGTACTTCTAGTTCTGTCACATAGTGTCTTTCCATCAATTTTTCTATGTTTTCATCTCTGCTGTTTCTTTGTCTTCTCTGTGTCAGGTCTTGTTTCTGTCGCGTATGTCATTATTGGTCTGATGACTGTTTTGTAAATTCTGCCTTTCGTTTCTTTCACTTATACTAGATACGATTTGTTCTACTTGCTTGGAGTATTTTAATTCTGAACCTTCGACATTTCATTGAGGGTTTTTTGGAATGGAAGAATTTGGAAGAATATGTAGGAGACCTATATCCAAAATTGGATGCAAGAGGTTGAGGAATGATGATGGTGATGATACTAGAACCGAGGGTAAAGAGATACTTAAACCAAAAAAAAACATAATTAATAGACTAATAGAACTGACTTATCTAGTTTTGATAAATCAAGTCGATCCTTCGGTCTTTTAAGGAGGTAAATCTATCAATAATATCCTCGCAGGAAAGATGCTTCTGCATAAGTTCATTCAACAGTTCTTTATGAAATGCGATAACAGTCTATCTTGTGAAATAGTGTTTCTTGTAAAAGTTTTTAACTTTTTTAAGCACGAAAAACTTCTTTCTACGGAAACGCTTGTCGATGGAATTGTCAGAATTAAACAAGACAAATTATAGGCTTCTGCAACAATGTCTTTAATTAGTTGTAACTTTATAACCAATTCTTGCAAATTCACATTTTTGTAATTTTCGTCGGCATAAAGAAGGCAGAGCTCACTTTTAAGTCTTTGATGTTTAGTAAATTGTGTGCCATAGAACTCAAATAAATTTTGAAAAGCGTCGGAAGGGAAGGTCAAACTGTATGGCTCATATTTTGTTGTATCTGCTAAGCTTACGAATTTTAATTTATCACAATCCTCAAAACGTATATCCATTTTCATTAAAATATGATCATATATTTCAAAAAATACCTAATGCTCTGTATTGAGTAGTAATTGCATTCTTTCTCATACCATCATCACACCTAAACCGTTTGGAAGTATTAATGACCGTCATTGTGCTTGCTTTTTCAAACATAGAATTAAAAATTCTTCATTTCTTTTATCACTTATTAATTGACGAGTTCTCCTTATCTGGCTTAAACAAAAATTAATATCTAGGGACTGTTTTTGAAGAACATCGTATAAAATATCTGTTATACGAAAAAGTCGCTAAAAACTGTTGCTAAAAATGTGAACTCAAAATCATTTAAATCTCTTAAAAACCCTTTAGCCAGCTGAACTGATTTGCGGTCTGACTCTTCAGAATTCATTATATTATCAAAAACCTCTTTTAATTTTTCCCAGTCTTCAATAATTACACTGATTAATTTTGAATTAGACGACCATCTTGTCTCTATAATTGTTGGCATACGTCTAGCCGAAGTAGATGCAAGAGCGTACGATCGTTTTGCTAAACTATGAAAAAACGATGGGATTCCGGTAATAGTTGCAAAAAAAATCGACATTTTGATATTTTCTTAAAACTCTGTTGCAAAACAAGATTAGTCGATGGGCTTATAATAAAGTGCACTAAACAAATAAACTTAACTAGCGAACCAACTCGACATCGAGTTTTTAAATGAAATTTTTATTTTGCGAGAAAAATTAAGAGATCAATACAAACAATATAAGCAATAATATACATAACATTCATCAATAATAATGCAAGTAAAAAGTGTATTAAATATCACGAAATATTTCGTCGAAAACAATGTTTTTTGTTACAATGTCTCCATTTTCTAAAAACTTTTGCTTGGCACCGGGAGCTATGTAAACTTTTACTTTTTAATAAAGTCAAAACCGGAAGTCGACCTCAAAACCGGAATGCAATTTTTAGTTCATCAAATTTCGACATGGATATCATTTAGCAGTTAATTTTGCATGCTGATCATGAATCCGGTGTCAGATTTGCTCTATCTTGACGTTTTATGCGCGTTTCGGGTCACTTTCGGTGTCGGATAGCAACCGGAAGTACATATTTAGATTCGTCTCGACGAGACCTTTAGATCCATATATACATTGTGGGGTCTAAAACTTTTTTAAATTTTAACTTCCGGTCATCTCTAAACCGGAAGTGTATTTTTGTTCCAAAAGTATATCTTGACAATCTCATACGTAATACTAATAATACTCCGAAAAATATTTTAATTATCTAATATGGTTTTTGAGTAAAGTGGTGGACAAGAAAAGGGCTTAGCGTTTTAGTATATAATTAGTTTTTAAAGCTATTAATCTAAAT